GCATATTTCATTATTTCCATCAAAGTAAACCTACAAACACAATTCATATTGAATTAAGCCTTATTCAAACATTTATATCAACAATTAATCATGTTTTGTCGCATAATTAAGTGCACAAAATGCACTTATCATCTGTCGTCACCATAGGCGATTGTATGAAACTGTATAGTAACAAAATGGACAATCCCATGTCAAAGAATCTTCAGGCATTAGGCAACTTTGAAGAAACAATTTCAAGTTTCCAACTTTGAAAAAACCAGACAACAGACGTCAAAGAGTTGCTTTCCAAGTTATATGGCAGCAATAAAATGACAAACCATCAGAAGATGCTTACGAGGCTCCAGCTCTAAGCTGCCATGACACTGAAATATCACAACTGAACATGGGAAAAAATTTAATTCTAAACCATCTCAAGAAGTTTTATACAACCAGTGGAATTGGCAGCAACCACCATATTTGATTTCTGTCTCCAGCAAACACTAGAAACAAACTGTCCATTATCATCTTCAGTCTCCTTACCAGAAATGGAATCAATGGAGCCGAACTTGTGGGAAGTAATTGGCATCGGCAGAGATTTATAATAGGCGAACACCTGAAAACCAATATAACAAATGTGAATAGCTGAAACTAAGAGGCTTCAGCAAGAAGTTCATAATGAAAAACCTTAATAGTGCAATCAGGAAAAAAAAGCACCAGAACAGAGATTAATTCATTAGATATTCTGATTCTCACATCCTTAACAAATATATAATCAATCATATGTATAGAAGTGCATGATAGGAAAACTTGGGGACTCAGCAAAATCAACAAGAATAAGTACTCAGGGTTACAATAGAACAGCAATCCTGATATCATAACATCATATTCTACAGCCATGAGAAATAGAAGCAATTCCAACAATATATAAATTCCGTACTATGGCATTAAGAACATACTTCAGCAAAGCAAAAATTAAAAACTATCAGGTCCACTGATTTGCTATATAAATACTAGGTTTCAGACCTGCGCACATGAACACGTGGAGTTTCATTAAACAGTAAGTAAACTAAAAATAGGACTATCAATGACTTGACACAATCTTCCCCAAACTGATGGATTTACTAGGTTCTCTGGCCTGTAAACATTTCACTAAATCTTTTGCAACCTCAAAATGTGATTATCAATGACTTAGCACTATTGCTTGACTTCCCCAAAGTGATGCTTCAACTGTAATTTCTTATCCTCATAAACTATTAGTTTCTATCACAGAGCCTATCAAGAAACAGGAAATGTTTAACAATGGGATCTGCATCAACAACATGAAAAATGCAAGTTAAAAGTGAAGATCACCTCATTTGTCTCCGAACCACAGGCTATGTAACCATCAGCAACTGATAGACCAACGAAGTTCTGCAGGAGTGAGAATGTCAAGTTAAGCAGACAAGAGATTTCTATAATATTAAAGGTAACAAAAGCTCGAGTTAAGGCAAGAAGTACTCTGAAAATTATTTTGAAGAAAATGACCACAGGATGGTTCTTAAGAAGCATGATCAGAAAAAGGACAGAGACACGTTGCAGTAGCAACAACACCGATTTAATTTTTTTAAAATTGTATTATTGCATTCCATCAATACTTTTACATTTTCAATAACATCAATACTTTTTTAGCTTTTGAAATATTGCAGGTAAAATCTTTTGAATAAGGGAGTACATTGTACTAAGATATCTTTGGGACTATATATTAGTACTGCTAGAGAAGAAGCAATGCATATAATAGATATAAAACAAATTTGACCATAAGGTCAAATAATTTTTGTCACGATATTTGGCTTTTCTATACAAATGTCTTAATAATCAAACATTTTTCTAATTTTATAATTTCAAAAATTTACAAAGTAGGCTTTTCGTGTCCTTGATGTGTCAAGAACATGTTCCTCACATGTTAGAACTCTAAAGAATATGAATAATACAAAATATGCCTTGTGCTACGTCTTTCAGAGGTGTTCGGGAAGTGTCCATTGAGTGTCAGAAATCTACAAGTACATAAAAAATAGGACATGCCACGTGGCATGTCAAACACGTGCCCAGGCGTGTCAGACATTGTCGCCTGATACGTGCCACTATGTCAGTCACGCCACCCCAGTATTAGTAGTCTCCATGCTTCATAGGTTGGGTCACAAGTGACTAACCTTCTCATTAGTATGTCCTCTAAGAGTTAACATGCAAGCATCCCTTGATAAACAATTGGAACTCGTTTTACTGAGATCCCAAATCTTCAGTGTGTTGTCAGTGGATGCAGAAACAATAGTTCCCGCATCCAAGAATTTTACATAGCTAACAGCTTTCTCATGGCCAGCCAATATGCACCAAGGAGTTGAAACTTTGCGAAGATCGAAGCAATAGGTCTTATAATAGGCAGCACTAAAAGCCAACAAATGAGCGGAGTCAGTGGAAAACTGAACGCAGCAGGTATTTGCGTAAGATCGAAGCAATAGGTCTTATAATTGGCAGCACTAAAAGCCAACAAATGAGCGGAGTCAGTGGAAAACTGAACGCAGCAGGTATTTGCGTTGTTCCTTATTGTGCATATACTGTTTTTCTGCACCAAAGAAGAAAGATCAGTTTAATAAGCACTAAAACTATTCCATCCCAGAGTGATGTAAGTGCTGGAAGCAGTTTCTCGAATGTAGAAGGCTTGATGACCAATGCATGCCCAACCAAACCATGCAGAAGGTCAGGCATCAGTCTGCAGGTGAACAGTACAAAATGATACCAGCTGGGAAAGTTAATTGTCCATTTTACTGTCTCACTTTCATTCTTTCTAAAAGGCATGCAAGTTACTGATAAGTGTATTTTATACAGTGTTCTAAAATGCGTAATGCGTTGCGATGCGTCGAGGCCGAGAATCAAGAATCATAAGTTTAAAGATCGAAGCAATAGGTCTTATAATCGGCAGCACTAAAAGCCAACAAATGAGCGGAGTCAGTGGAAAACTGAACGCAGCAGATATTTGCGTTGTTCCTTATTGTGCATATACTGTTTTTCTGCACCAAAGAAGAAAGATCAGTTTAATAAGCACTATAACTATTCCATCCCAGAGTGATGTAAGTGCTGGAAGCAGTTTCTCGAATGTTGAAGGCTTGATGACCAATGCATGCCCAACCAAACCATGCAGAAGGTCAGGCATCAGTCTGCAGGTGAACAGTACAAAATGATACCAGCTGGGAAAGTTAATTGTCCATTGAACTGTCTCACTTTCATTCTTTCTAAAAGGCATGCAAGTTACTGATAAGTGTATTTTATACACTTATTCGGGGTCTAAAATAGCGATATTTGATAGTTCTTCTGCAAAATATATCCTAAAGTGTTATATTTCACGTTATATACGTAAAACTCAATGGTTGAACAATGAATGGAAAGAAAGAAGCGAAAATTGGTAAAAAATGGCAAAATCCAAAGTTTGAAGACCAAATTAAAAATTCAATAGTTGATTCGGACCACAAGATGATACTTTGAAAATTGTTAGGAGATAATTGGATGGAATTTGAACTCAAATAGGAATGGAATATGATTAAAATCAATTTCCAATCGAACAAGTTATATTCCAGATTTTCTGTCGAGGATTGAGATCCATTTTTGACATAATAAACGTTCGAATCCGGAAAACTCTATTGTAGAAACATTGTAACCCTTTGAGTTAGCTTTCCAACACATATTGAATTTCTTCAATCGGCTATCAGGAGAGAAAGTTATGGTCAAAATACTGACTACTCTGTAGAGACAAAAAATTCGCGCGCGAAGATAACTTTTCTTATTCAATTGAAACTCTTTTGGAAGTCAATTTGGACGTGATTTTTAACCAATTTTTGACCCCTACAAATACTTAACAACATAATATGTATGGGGGACCTCTCATATACATATTATATTCCAGTATTCATCAATTATTATCATCAAGGAGGAGAATTCATAGTTTTTGTGAGAGGATTGAAGGGAATTTGCAAGAATTCAATCAAGTGAAGAGTCAAACCTGACTTTTGGGCAAAGAAGAGAATACGCAAGATTTCAAGATTCATCTTCATCTTCATCTTCTCAATTTATCAAAAATTCGAGTTATGTCTTTTCACTTAGATATGATTTCTTATAATTTCGATATGTTAGGCTAATATTATACATTGCTAGGAAGAGATGAACCATTGTTTTGATATTTTTAGTTTTTAATTAATTATTTTGACTTTAATTTGATTTTATTTGTGAATGTTTATTATTGTTTATCGTTCTTTTCAATTGATTGATCGCCAATTGAATTGTTAGTGAATTTTATTGTGATCGAGAGAGACAATAGGGTTGAAGCACATTATAATAAACATTGTAAGGTTCGATAGAGGATAAAGATATACATCTATGCTTTATATGATTTTAATAGGTGTCCTAATACTTGTTAATGTATTTATCATGTTTGCATATTTCATCGAGAGATAGAAGGGTCAAATGAAGGAAATAGATTTGATCGCTATCGAGGAAAGCTTTCAATTAAATTATGAACATGAACCAACATAAATGATTTCAAATTGTCACTTTAATTGTTACACTAGAAATGAAATAATAAGGGGGATTCGACACCATAGCAATGCATCACATATTTGAAAAACACATTTATTTACTTTCATTAGTTTAATTGATAATTTAGGGATTTGTATAAAAAAAATTATAAAATTTGTTTGCTATTCGATTAAAGTTGTAATTAATTTTAGATCGATCAAACACGTAGTCCTTGTAGGTTCAACACTCTATTCACTACTTTATTACTTGTTCACGATCCCGTTCACTTGAAGGTTTTCAAATGATCATATTTTTTGCGCCGTTGTCGGAGACTATTGTATTTAATTAGTTTAAATTAATTTTAGCTTTAATTTGAATTTTTATTGCTTATTTATTTTTAATTTGATTGCTACTTTAATTACTTTTAATTTTAACAATTTTTTTTTGTTATTTACTTTTCTTTGTTTTTCTTTTTATATCGTTTAACTAACCTCTTACAGTTTTAATATATCTTGTGTTGGTATTCTCTCTTTGTACTTTTCAGATATTTATGCATGATCCTGACATTGGTAAAGTAACAAAATTGTTGCAATAATAAATCTCTACATGGATTGTCAAGATATGCTTGGAGGGTATCCAAGTTGCGAAATTGTTACACGGTACATTGTACTGGGAAATGCTTGTTCTTTTACACTAGTTTACACACACCGAAATTTCTGAGATTTCGAAAATATTTGTTGTAGAAAACAAGCAATTGAAAAATCTGACGAGTACATGCTCGTGGGAGATTTTGTACCTGATGATTGGAATGAGGACATCAAACTTGTGGGAGATGGTCCTCCCCTATTGAACGAAAAACTATTTGCAAAGTACTTTTAAGAACTTTCCAAGTTGGATGAAAACGATATGCTTATGGGAGATTGCATGTACTGGGAATGATTTCAACAATGGGGGTACAATCCACTCGAAGGAGTCAACAGAACCGACTTCTCATTGTCCATGGATCTAGATTGTGGACCAATCATTCAACCCGAAGATATATCGACTATGGAAGAAGGGATTAAAGAAAATGACGAGTTGATCACAACGGAGTCAAATGAGGATGTGGCAATCAATGATGATGAAATCAAGTGACATTTTTCCTACTTTATTGATTGTCCAAAAATTTGATTTTGTGAATAAGCACAATGTAGGAGTAAAAGTCTACATAGTTGAAATTGAATCGGATAAAATAAAAAAGTCTTATTACATCGAAAAGGGCAGGAAGAAGTCGGGAGACTAAATGAAAATTGGATCAAAGCCAAACGAAGGAAAATGGGCAAGGCATCCAAAGCCTTCTTTAGGTGCCCGTGATTCAATTGCCAAATTTTAGCTAAAGACTATAAATTAAGCGCTTATTGGGAGGCAACCCAATTTTCTAACCCTTTTATTTATTCCACTTTCTAAACCTCATTGCACATAGATTTATTTTGATTATTAGTTTGCATTAGATTTAGACATGGTTCAATTTACAGGATATCACCATCCTTGTTTGGGCTAAGTAACACATTTTCTAGGTTATTTGATCTTTAATGTTTGATTTAACCGCTATGTGCAGAAACATGTCATCGCGGAATACTCAAACCAACACAAACTGGGGGAAGCATGATGAAAAAGATTGTCTAGCCATCACACAGTGCCTTGCACATTCAACAGAAAAATTCGAGGAGTACCTTCTTCCTTTTCTTCCCCATCTCCTTATATTCTTATTTATGTTTTATGACATTGAGGATAATGTCGATTTTTAGTTTGGGAGGGAAAAAACTTTGAGTTTTTACTTTTCGAGTATTTGTGTGTTTGTTCTTTGTTATTGCTTTAATATATAATAAAAAAAAATTTCTGTCGATTTTTAGTTTGGGGGGAAAAAACTTTGAATTTTTACTTTTCGAGTATTTGTGTGTTTGTTCTTCGTTATTGCTTTAATATATAATTTAAAAAATTGAAAAATTTCAACAAAAATATATATTTTCTTATTTTAGGTTGCGTGCTTGTATGGGTTAAATAGTTTGGCTGGCAATGATGATTAAATTTGAAATTTGGTGTTGATTTATAAACTATGGATAGGATGCATGCCAGACTGATTGAAACTTAACATTGCAAAACTTGATATTATACTTGCACTAGAATTAAATTGGACATTGTGATTCTATGAGTTGATTCATATAATTGATATATTGACATAGTTGGACATAGATGCTTTACCCAAAAGCATACTAAATTACTTATCCTTAAACCAAATTTAGAACAGTTTGGGGGTGATTTTGCTATTGTAGGAAGATACGAATGTGGACAGGGTTTCCATGTGTGAAATTTTTTTATGTGGATTGTCTTAGATTAACGGGATAAAATTTGACGAAAATCTTAAGTTGGAGGTCGGTTTGCTTGAATATGTGTTTGATAAGAGGCATATCACTGATCAAGGCATAAATTTTTAAATGTGAAAATTCTTTTTGAAGCATTTTTTACTTGGGTTATTAAGTTTGTAAAAGTGTTTAAAACATGGTGCTCTCATCTAACTTAGGAGTCATCGGCTTAAAGTCTGTTACATGGGTCATTTAGAAAGCTCAAGGGAGGGTGCAAAAAGAAAAATACTTTTGAAAAAAAAGCAAGTGCATAAAAAAAACACTAAATGCCTTGGTTGAGCTCCAAACACTTGTTTGAGGGAATTTGACTTTTGATGAAGGATAATTAGTCTAAATTGAGTCTTGAAAGTCGAAACAATCAAAGAATTGGAGAATTCTTGTTTATTGATGTTTTGACTTACAATTAGTAGAATCCACCTGAACTAGAGAGAGTGATGATAGTAATGAAAAATTCAACCTTAGATTACACACTGGGAAAAGAGTGAAAAAAGAACAAGTTTGGAGGTGTGCAAATCATAAGAAAGGTGAAAGGATATATTTGACCATAGAGGGTCGAGAATTGAAGCAATTTGTAAATTCATGATTGTCTATTTAATCCTTCACATACACATGTCCGTTTTGCATTAGAATAGTGGATATTAGTTTGGAATTGTGACTTTGAAACAGTTTGTAGATTTAGTACTGTAATTTCAAATACTAAAATAAAAAGTTAGATTGTTTAACCAAATATTTTTGCATTCTTGTGTGTTTGTTGTTATTTAGGTTATAATTTTGTTTGAGAACAAACAAATATTTAAATCTGGGGGTATTTGATAAGGGGGTGTTTGACACCCATTTTTGTGGAAAAATGTGTTTTTGAATAGTGATTGATGGAAGAATGTGTGGTTAAAAAGTAAGGAGAATTTTTAGGTTTATGTGTAATATTATTTTATTGATAGAATGTGTGGTTGAAATGAAGAAAGAGAAAAAGAATGAGAATGAGAAAAAAATGGGTGCCAAACGGGGGCTAAGTGTATTTTATACACTTATTCGGGATCTAAAATAGCGATATTTGATAGTTCTTTTGACAAAATATATCTTGCTGTATTTTATGTTAATAGGTAAAACTCAATGGTTGAACAATGAATGGAAAGAAAGAAGCTAAAATTGGTAAAAAATGGCAAAATCCAAAGTTTGATGACCAAATTAAAAATTCAATAGTTGATTAGGACCACAAGATGATACTTTGAAGATTGCTAAGAGATAATTGGATGGAATTAGAACTCAAAAAGGAATGGAATATGATTAAAATAAATTTCCAACCGAACAAGTTGTATTCCAGATTTTTATTCGAGGATTGAGACCCATTTTTAGCATAGTAAACGTCCGAATTCGGAAAACTCTATTGTAGAAACATTGTAGCCCTTTGAGTTAGTTTTCTAACACAATTTGAATTTCTTCAATCGGATAGGAGAGAAAGTTATGGTCAAAATACTGACTGCTCTGTAGAGACAAAAAACCGCGCGCGCAGATAACATTCCTTATTCGATTGGAACTCTTTTGGAAGTCAATTTAGACGTAATTTTCAACCAATTTTCGATTCTTAAAAATAATTAAAAGCATAATATGTATGGGGGACCTCTCATATACATATTATATTTCAGTATTCATCAGTTATTACCATCAAATGAGGAGAATTCATAGTTTTTGTGAGAGAATTGAAGGGGATTTGCAAAAATTCAATCAAGTGAAGATTCAAACCTAATTTTTGGGCAAGGAAGAGAAGACACAAGTAGAGATTCATTAAGAAACCATTGAAAAAATTCAAAATTTCAAGATTAATCTTCTCAATTTATCAAAAATTTGAGATGTGTTTTCACTTAAATATGATTTCTTGTAATTTTGATATGTTGGGCTACTATTATACATTGCTAGGATAAGATGAACCCTTGTTATGATATTTTTTGTTTTTAATTAATTATTTTGATTTTAATTTGATTTTATTGTGGATGTTTATTATTATTTTTATCGTTCTTTTCAATTGCTTGATCACCAATTGAATTGTTAGTGTATTTTATTGTTATCGAGAGAGATAATAGGATTGAAGCACATTATAATAAACACTGTAAGGTTCGATAGAGGACAGAGATATACATCTATACTTTATATGGTTTTAATAGGTGTCCTAGTACTTGTTAATGCATTTATCATGTTTGCATCTTTCATCGAAAGATAGAAGAGTCACATGAGAGGAATAGATTTGATCGCTATCGAAAGAGACTTTCAATCAAATTAGGAACATTAACCAACATAAATGATTTCACATTGTCACTTTAATTGTTACACTTGAAATGGAATAATAAGGGGGATTCGACATCATAGCAATGCATCTCACATATTTGAAAAACACATTTACTTACTTTCATTAGTTTAATTGATAATTTAGGGATTGGTATAAAAAAATCACAAAATTTGTTTGTTATTCGATTAAAGTTGCAATTAATTTTAACACGATTAAACACATAGTCCTTTTGGGTTCGACACTCTATTCACTACTTTATTACTTGTTCACGATCCCAATTGCTTGCCGGTTTTCAAAGGATCGGTTACTAAGCAAAAGAAAGGATTATTATATGTACTGCCTACTGAACCACTAATGTCATAATCAACAATCGTGTTCAATCCGTATTTTGTACAAAAAATGGTGTTATTATGAGTCCACTTTAACCTTAATTTAGAATACTTCTAATGCAAGAAGAAAGAACTGTAACCCAAAAGATGGGAGTTTTAAAAATCATGGCATGGCCTCTCAGAAAATTAAAAGCATGAGACAGATAAACTAAAAGCAAAAATTTAGACCGTGCCTCGTTGATGCTCCAAAGTTTTACCAGACGGTCATCACTTCCACTGGCTAGTTTTGAGGGATCCACACGAGAGAAATCAACAGACCATGCCCTTTCACTGTGCTCAATGAAATGAGAAAACTCTTGCCCTGTTGACGCATCCCATAACTACGACGATTCAAGTCAGTTACGTCAAGACCAATGCAAAAAGAAACTACTAAATGACAATATAAATATTTACATGTCAGTAACAAGAGATAGATATTGAAAAAGAAAATAAAGTTAGAAAGTATGGATGCACCTATACAAAAATATAAAGTAATATACCTGAGGAGCATACACTATTTTTGCAATAGTAATATACACACGTGCAAGCTTTTTTAGGGAAATTTGAATGTGATAATTCTGGGAAACTAATGCACACATGCTTTTGCTCTAGCTACCACTCTCATTGCAAGAACACTCTGTTGGAACTCAGGGTGCTAATTTGAACACGCCTATTGACTATGGATTCCGGTAGTATCAGTTATAAAATGCTATAAAAGAATCTAAACATTTCTCAAGTGTAACAGTACTAATTTTTCTTCTTTCCCTTCCCAAGTCAATTACAACATCTTGTTCTCTCCTATTATTGAAGGCTTGAAAGTCTTGATCCCTCTTTTATTTCCTCAGACACAATAACAGAGAATTCTTTCCCAAAATAAATTAGCAAAGCTCAGTTCAGGAGGCAAAGGTATACGAGCAAACAAGAAGGCATAGAAAATGACAAAAATCCATGCAGAAATAATTGTTGTCCTGGTAAGTGCAACTATTCAAGTTCACTTGGTAGCTGGTCTTGCGGATTTTTCTACATAAGAGATGAACATGAGACCTAGGGCTCCACGAGAACAATCAATTTTATGGTCACGATGCCAATAGTATGGGAAGCTACATCCTTCGGGAAAAATGTTGCTATAACATCAAAAGGAAATCATGTACTTCACAGATAGAAGTCAACACTGCACTTCATATAAATACATGGAAGGCTATTTCTATGCAAAGCCAAATCCTTAAGTGTCCATCAAATAATACAGCCATTCAACACATATATTGAAGAACGCCATTAAGCTCTCCATTTTCTCAGTCATAGCCTTTGTTTGGCTCATGTTTATAAACAGTATATAAACACTCGTGCCATTTTTTATCTACACAATTCGAGTTACCCACAAGCACTGCCCTACTTAATACCACTCTTTCCTATCTATTTATAATTTTTTAACCGTTTATAAACACTTCCCAAACATGCTTTATTTCTAACAAAAATTTAGGTGCATAACAGTAACAATATATAACTAACAGGTGTGGCAGCTTACAAGATAGAAAAGTGAAGGTCCTTGGTGGCAATGATCGTGATCCAGCCCGTTTAAGCAACCTACTTAGATTATGTGATTTAGCTTATTTTGGTTCTTTTGAAGTTCAGATCACATTTCAGCGCCAAAAAAAAAAAATGCTCTCTTTTCCTAAGTCTTTCATTAAGATTTATGTTAATCCATTGATGCATGTTAATCTTCTGACAAATTATAGTAGTTAATATTATTCACATTGAATATTATTAGAACAATGAGCCAGAATATACACCTTAACTATGCCATCATAATCAGATGAAGCAAGGTAATTCCTGATGTAGCTATTCCAGCAAATGCAGCTGAGTTTTGACTTGTTTGCCATCTCAGTAACTGGATAATGAAGGTCAACGAAATCAGTAGAGAGAGCTTGAAATTCAGATATTTGTATCTTCTTCGACACTCCAGCAGCAGCTAGATAGTCCTCATCCCGGTCAAAACCCAATGAACATATTACATTTGCTGAATTACTGAAATCTGCATTCCTTGATATCCCTCGTAATTTGAATTTATTATAGTGAGCATATTTGCACAAACCATCTAAGAAACCCCCTAAGCGATCTGCAATTTTGTATTTTTGTCTGTCCTTAGCAGTGATGCACCAGTTTTCTCGACTTTTCAACAGCTCTCCATCTCTATGAGTCGCAACATCAGTATCTGGAAGCTGGATATTGGGTCTCAAGGAAAAGTAAGCACTTTCAAGCATCCTAACATTCCTCTTCGAATTTATTTTGTTATCACACACAGGGGACATCTTTGAAGGCACATCCAAAGTTGACTGTCCACTTGCAGTGAGAAGCTCCTGAGGTATGGAAGATAAAACCAATGATTTGTTAGGCTGCCTTTTCTCAACCGCTTTGATGTCTGCTTCTATGCACTGGATTTGTTCCACTATCTTGGATACATCCTTTTGTTTTTGCTCTTTCAGTGACACAAGAAAATACAATAACAATTCTGATTCTCCATCTTCTTCATCAATTGATGACAATAACTGGTGTCCAGAGAGGCCTTGAGTTCCACTTACAAATCCAGATTGTAGAATTTCCCTGTCATGAAACAGTAGCAACAGACATTACACATTGAAACTAACATGACTCAAAAACAAATTTTACATACGACAGAGACTGTCAATTTGTGAAAATATTTTTACAAATATTTTTCGGCGACATGATCTCCAAAACCTCGAAAATAGTACTAATTTTACAATTATGCATGGTGCTCTATATGTTTATTGCTCTGATACTTGCATTATCAAGCCAGTTTAATACTAGTTGTATTCACCTCTTTGTTTTCCAAACTGACACTTACGGAATTAAACAGAAGACTTAGATGATAAATTTGACATGTAGCTATTTGTGATTTCACTGAGACGCCATGTTCAAGAGATTTTTACGGCTTAAACCAGCATTATTAGAGTTTCAATCAAGAAGATTAAAAGAGGGGGAAATTTTTAAAATTGAAACCATAAATTAAAAAAATAATAATAATAAAATAAAAAATCTACCTGATTGTTGGGCGTGATGCAGGTTCAGGGTGAAGAAGCCAAAGACAGTATCCAGCTTCCTCGGGATTCTCTGAAAGAAAGCCAGAAGGAAGAATCCTATGGCGTAAATCAAGCATTGCAGCAGCACGAGATCTTCCAGAATCATATAAGCCAAGTAACTGAGAGAAACCACATTTTATTAGTATCAAACATATATGCTGCCAGTTCAAGCCTTCATGAAGGACACAAAATTGAAACAAACAATGGTGCTTGCTTTTTCTTGGGTATGCTAAAACTAACCTTCCCACATTCATAAGAAAGGCTAAACCGTAGGTTGCAAACTAACCACATTCGAACATAGGCAAAAACAGATTCTGATTCTTAAAGAGAACAGACTATCACTTCTTTCTCCCAAGCCTTTCTACCAAATTCACCTCTCTAACCCACCATTCTGGCAAATATCAGGGTCTCTATTTTCTTCCCCCCAAACTAGCATTATAAACGTTTCATAACTGACAACTCCATCCAACAAAAAGGTAATATTTTCCTCGCTATCCTCCACATTTTCACGCTAATATTTGGCATCATAGGAAAAAACTCAAAATGACCAAATGACAAAGGGGAAATAAGAACATATGCACTTCTATAGGGTAAATGTTATCTAAATCAGACTACAATATTCATGGACATCATTTTTGATGTCCTGAATTATTATCATCTTTTTAAACAGTTATAAAAGTATACCATCAGTTTCATGTATGAGGATTTATACTTTTACTACTATCACATCTGACATTTGCTTTTCTCATTCAGATAAGTTCATAATATAAGACTGCAAGCAAAATTATTTCAGTAGAAGTCATTTACAAACCTCAAACAGAAGAACCCCTAGACAAAATATATTTGATGCAAACGTGCAGCCCCTTCCAGTGGACAGCTCTGGACTCGTATACCACTTCTCTTCTGACATACAGCTTACAAAAGCCTGCGATGGCTGCAATTTACTAAATACATCACTGTTGTAGAATTTGCTTTGGTTCTTACACTCCGTTTTAGGGTGTTCTTCCTCATCAGAATCATTCCAAGAATCTTGTGGCCCATCAATATCTGCTTTAGTAACATTTTCAGATGCAGATCTAACACCTGACCTGGAAGGAAATTGTGGCCACCTTGGCACGCGGTTCATGTTCCCACCTAATTTCCACTTCTTCGTGGAATGGCAGCCCAAAGGAAGCATGCTAGCATGCATTTGTCTTTTTTCATTTGGACTACGACCTGAATGGGAATTAACTTGATCTGTAAAACTTATGGTGACCCCAGTGTGTACAGAAGATCCAAGGTACAACACCTCGTATGATCCCAACAACTTGAAGCAGGAAGGCCTCAAGTCTTGCAGCACAACTCCTTGAGAATGCTTAAAATCCACAAGAGTCACAATCTGTCTAAATATACTCAAGCTCTCAACTCTATTTGACTTATTTCGACCTGCTTCCAGCCATTCTCTCAAACTGATTCCGTCGCCCACAAAATGAGAATTACAATTAGTCCATGGTTCAGAAACACTGACAGGAGGTGAAAAAGTAGCGGAAGTAAAACCTAAAGGTGCAACAGAATCAGCCAAGCCGGCGGTCTCAAGTTTAAAGCATGTACGGTCAGCCGATTTAGTGCGTGTATGGTCCACAGACTCACTACCAGATCCTATGCGAACAGAGTTTTGATGTATTAATCCCTCTTTTCTCAATGTACCTTTTATGGAGTACTCTGAGAATCCAAATTTTGATAAAATTTTTGGACTAGTGGTTTCAGATGGGTAAAACAGATCATATGATGTACCTATATCAGAATTATTTAATAAATTGCTCATCATTGGGTTACAATTGAAATATAGTGGTTGCTGATCTTGAAACCTGGGACAGGAAGTGTTACCCCCATCGTCCAAGATACTTGGTTTTGCTCGACATTTTTCATTGTACCCTGTTTGTCCTTGCAAGCAGTTAATTCCTGATTCGCCTGTCATCTGATACAAGTGCTCCCACTGGTTCTGCATCGTTTGCTTTCTATCTCTATTGTTCGAAATGCCTACAACAGCCGACTTTTTACAGTCATAATTTCTCAAAGTCAACTCTTCAACCACGATCCCAGCACCATCCATGCAACGTGGACTGGTACTAGCATGTTCAGAAGAACCAATTCTTTCTAGGTTCTTTACATCCAAAGTATCTGAAACTAAGTAGTTCAATTTTTCATGATAATCATCCTCACAAGGCATGAACATTTCATTATGTTCCAGCATGCTAGAGCTGCCAGGCTTCAATGATAATTCACAACCTTTACTTCGAACATGTGTAACGTCCTCCACACCCACTTCAGTCAGCTCATCACTTACTGTTTCATCCATGGCAACTAAGATACTCTCATTCAATCAAGAGAATGATTTGCACTGCAAAACAAACTCGCATTAAAGAATAACACAAAGTATATTTAGACTAAATTGCATAAACCAACAACAATAAATTACATGAACCTATAAATTTGCTTAAGATTACAATCAAAACCCTCAAACCTGGAGAACTAAAATGTACCTCTTAAGCTCTCGTAGATAGAGTGCATAGTCTAATAAGCTGTACTAGGGTAGGTTGTCTTACTTTACTTTATTACCATTCGGATCCCGCTGTTTAACATGGCTCTAGAGTGTCGCTAATCAATCTATTTCCGATAGGGAGTGCATTCGAGGTCTAATGAAATTCCTGGATCGAGTTAGTGTAGTTCACAATCATGCTTTATTCCTTCATTCAAGAAGCGAAGGAAAAGAAGAGTGCCACTCATTCATCCTAACCAACTAGTAGAATATATCTTTCAGCAATTCTTTTCTCCGCTAGTTACCCCTTCCCAACCAGCCCGCCCAATCAATCTTGTAAGAACGGCTAATCAAAGGGGTTAATGAAGTTGTCGGGAATAAACAAGTCATTTTCAGATGTAATTCAAGACAAAGAGGGAAGATTTTGTGAGACTCTGCTTGGCAAAGGTTTATTTGACTGGACATAAAGATTAATGTGTGCATACTTTTCCACTTGCCTATGTCTCCTTAAAAGAACTGAACATGCAGTAAAAGAACATTACATTGTAATATTCAATTGAACCATCTCATCTGCTTAAGTTACACAGTGGAGGATGTATTTATTTACATTTTACGTTCAAGGCCTTGTGTGAAGAGCTAATTCATCTTTTAATCAAAGACATAACACCTGAAATATTCATAAATTGTTACCGACACTAATACCTTATAAAGGAGTCAAGAACCAACAAAGTGAATATGGAATAGAGTTGGAGGGGTCTCCGAGTCCATGGAATTGAAAAAAATCCTAATAATCAGAGTTGAGTGATGGAGATGAGATGAGGAGAGAGAGATTCATGGGACTTGCCTGAAATGGAAAAAATATCTTCGTGTACACTGTACTTACTACTTATCCATATTTTAATTACTGTGTAATTACAGCGACTAATTAAACGTTTATTTTAAGTCAGGGGTAAACTTGGGCTTTCACTTTGAAATGCATGAAGATTCTTCCACTCTAAGCTACCATGATATTGAGTGTTAAGTGAAGCGTTTAGTTTGTAGGCTCGTCTCACTATCGAATCGAATTGGCTTGACTCGTTCCCTTAAACACTTCATCACTATTTGGTGGAGTTAAAAATCAGATTTTTTTGTATGTTTTGATAAATGTCGATGAAATGTGTAGTTCAAAAAAATTGTGGGTCTCGTGAATTATGTTGTTAAAATTAATTATTGACTTTAATTTAAAATAAAATGAAAATTTTAATCCCTACCAAATAGAATCTTATAATCAATATAGAGTTTCGTATTTAATCCCTACCAAGTAGAGGCTTATGAGCCGGTTTGAACTCCATTTTTTGATGAAAATGAATTTTGAAATAATACTTGAAGGAGAATGCTTGATTAGTAAATAAGGAAAAATTTAGAATTTGCGTGTAATATTATTTAATTGAAAATAAAATAGATAAAAATATATTTTAAAAATAATGAGTGCCAACCACATATTCTTTAATAAAATAATATTTTTCATCGCATCAATAATTTTTCCTTCCTTTTCAACCACACATTCTCCATCAATCTACTATTCTAAAATACATCTTTCCAAAATAATGTAGTTCAAACGATATAGTGGCGTATACAAATTGTGAAATTGGCGCCTGCACACGTGGCATCAAATCCTCCTAAGAGAAGCCAATTGTGCAAATCATAGTCTAACACGTGTCTATTTTTTATGGGTACAGAATATTCTGCTATTGGTCTGTTTCCTGCCATGTCATGCTCAATAAAATGCGGTGGATAACGGCTTCTTATTTCAAATTTAAATTTGCTGCCATATAGAAAAACTTCACCATGAAGGTTAAAGAAATTAATAATTTTGCATAAATAACAAAATTATTATATGTTGATTTGGACAGTTTATAAAATTAATATAAACTAATAATTTTGTTCACCTCGGTTTCTAACTGTTGACGCGATCAGTAGATTCCGATTTCATTCATATCCATGAGTAAGGCTCTTGCACACTTAAACAAATTGTCGAACTGGTCACGGCAGCCTCCCCTCGGTGCCTGTACACACTTTTATGGCTCACATCTTCCATTTATCACACCCAAATATACACAGACAAATTGACTGACTTGACCATCAAAATATTCGCGGTTGCCTCTCCCCACGTCAAAGAAGGCTAAGTGCTTTTAATGATTTATTCAAGTATGTGAAACTTCACGCGTGGACATAAGTAGAGCCAAGATTTCTTGGCCACATTATCGGTTAGAAACTGAGGTCACTAAATTTTCTTTAAGATTATTTAGAATTCAACGCATATTTCCTACGAAATATATGATTAAAATTAAAATTTAATTTTAACATTTAAATTATATGAATATTTTCGATAGACTCTCTAAATACATAATGCTCTCTACTTTAGAAAATCAACGTTTAAAAATAAATTTTAAAATACTACTTTACTTTTAAAAATATGAAGTGGGTTTGATTCTCCAAATCTGAAGAACCAAGCTCGATCACAATCTTTCCTCTATCAAGCGTCCTTAGTTTAATTGAGCTTCCTAAAATTTAGATTCTTTCATCACATTTTGCGTGGACCGAGGATATTCATTTTTAACACACAAAAATGTCCTTGTAAGAACATCTCCAGTGCATTCAATAGATCTATTTGACATTAGAGAGAGAGTTTTAAACACCGTCTGTTTTGCATACATGGAGTACTCTTTTAAGTCTAACTCATTGCTCAATGTCAAATCCTATCGTATATACCGTGGTTTCTCCAACAAGAAGCTCATATGTATTTTCTTGCTAGCAAACACTTGGCTCGGGTATTGGAGTGACCATCTCGAGAATACCTCAAGAGTCGAAAGAACTTTCTCACTATAATCAGTTAATGTAGGATTTACTTGAGCACAACAAAAGAATGTAGCATTGAGAGTCTACTTGTACGATCTCAACTTTGGCGTCGAGTGGCCATTACATTGAGATCCCATATGTCAAACACTGTGTTTTCTCAGAAGAATATGGACGTGCAAATTGTGATAATTGATAGATAGAGCAAAGCATATAGAAACATTTCTTTGTTTTGGATTTCAATATTGAAAAAATACCTAAAACCCACATAAATAGAGAAGACTTCGCGAAAACATGGGTTAATCTTCACATGAAAATATTCCAAAAACAAAAACTTTTATTGACAAACCATTACACTGAGAGAGCCCAGAAACCACAAGCACAGATATATCTTCCATGTCTAGACTGTATAATTCAACAAAATACAGAACTGAAGTTAATAACCGAGAAGTATAATGGAGCTCTAAAGGATTCACCTTTCAGTTTTAGACATCTTGCTTTTGCTTCCCATGGAGAGAACAAAAACCACCAAGAGATCGAACTAGAAATCATAGTAAACGAGTAATTAGTTTTAAATACGATCAAATAGTATAAAGAATCTAAGCATCATATTTACCCGCATAATCGCCAACAGTTAATAAGACAACATAAATTTAGGAAGTAAATAAGACTGAATTCAGAAAGAAAGCAAACAAACTGTCATTCTTAGAATTTTACCAACCAAAACTAACATGCGTCATGGTTTGAATTCAGAACAATTTAGGATCTTATACTTACCAATCATTAATACGTATATATAGTGTTAATGCAAATAATTAAAATACTAAATATTAATCCAGAAAGGAGACTAGAGTAGTGGGCTCAGAATCCTGCAAAGCAAAAATTGAATGAAGTGTCGCGAATAGTTAATACATATCAGTTCGAAGCCAAGAAAAACAACGGTTGCAGTAAGTTGACAGCCAGTGAAAAACTAATTTAAGTAAATGGCATGATACCTGTTAAAGCATACAACAGATGCAGTACACTTGATAGGCTATTGTGGGCCAAAGAATGGATCCTTTTCCTTGCAATATATCTCGAATAGCCTCTCATAGTGATTAATAGCAAGTTTTAGACATTGACTGAGAACATCTGGGCGTTGTTGTTCCACTTCAGATACTGATTTCCTCAGTCTATGATGTGGATCCCCTTCCGTAAGATACTCGCCCAAAGCCCCTATACTGAAGAAAATCATGGCTAACAATTCAATCCAAAGATTCAACTACTACTCTATACGATCAAGAATGCAACTTTTGAACTGGAATTCAAAATGACTGGCATAAAAAAATCCGTCGGTCATTGTTTATGTCCAACTAAACAAAAAAATAAATAATGAAAGAGAAAAGTAAACAACATATATTATATAAAAGAAAAATTTTAGGGTTCGTTCGAGCCTATTTTTGGGAGAATAGATTTTGTAATAATGGTTTTTTTAGAATGTGTAATTAAAAAGTAAGGAAGAGTTTTGGATTTACGTGTAAAATTATTTCATTGGGAAAATGTGTGGCTAGAAATGAATTTTTAAAGAATGGGATCAAACATGGGCTTCATCTTTTTTACCGAACCCCTGCAGCCCCCTCCCCCCACCCTAATTGTCATCACTACAACCGAATTTCCGTTATGTTAGCAGCAGACTGATAGACAAAGTGCTTAAACAGAAACGAAGATGTAAGCTCAATGACTAATTTGGAACAACTTGTACTTCATAAGAAGGAAACACACACGACCACATCTCAGACATGAAATATAACAGCTGAATTAGAATATAAGATATATTATATCAGATACATCTAAAACTATCATTCATAAGACACAGATTTAGAAAGTTTAAATTATAAATAGCAAACTAGTTTGACAACAATGCAAACAATTAATAAAGAAAAGGAAGGTTGGCATGTCTGCCATGCTAGCTATACCTCAATACATCTCGGTGGCCTAATACTCCACTCTGGGAACCAACGTTGGATTTTGCAGCAGAAATTTGCTGTCGATGAAGTGCACAGACAGCATTCAGGCAAAGTTTTGGATCCTCCTCAAAATCCTGGATCATGTCAGCTCCAAACATCCATGCTTTAGATTTTTTTTTAACTTGGAGTGAACCAACCATATTATTGATGCAGAAGCTTGAAAATGATTCATCTTCTGAATCTGTAGAATCATTGACATTAATGCCATCAGATGCTTGCGAAGGAGTTTGAGAATCTCTCTTGGCCTCAGCTTTTTCTTCACATCTTCTGAAGTGTACCGGATTGTGCATGGAAGGCAAAACAGTATGTGCAAGATTCGCATCCACTGATTTAGGATTTACCAAGTTATTGATGAGGGACCCAGATCCATCATAATTTACTTCTCGTGTTCGTTTCTCCTTCTGTGCACCAATTGGAAAGTTTTCATCATTGTCACTTCCATATGTGCTTCTTTTCCTTGTTGGCTTCGAACTCACAAGTGAACCATCTTTGCAGTCTGCTCTGTTTTTCCTGTTGGTTTGACTTAATGTTGGACTTTGAATAAATTTCTCAGGGGTTGCTTCATCGTCACTGTCACTGATTTCAATGATGTCTCCAGATTTTTGTGATTGTGCCATTTTACTAGAACTTCTAGCCAACATCAAGTTATTTATGCCTTGTTCTCCATGATCTAAGGCCACGATAATAGCTTGTCGACCTGCAACACATGCATACATAATTTACTCAGACAAATTTGCTTTAGAAAAGTACACTTTTTCTTTTTCTTGATCAGAATCATTACTTTCAGTTTGAGCACGATTCCCAGCAGATTGCTTTCCAGGAAAACCTTGAGAAGCATCGTAGCCATTTGCTCCAGCCTCTTTTGTCTGAGAAGACAGAACCAAGTTCCCGCCACCTGTGGCCACCATCATGTCAATTGTCACACGTCATTCCTTTCATACTTCCAGCGTGCCAACAAATTTTATACAAATCATATCAAAGAATTGCAAATTTAACATCTTAACAAGACAGGTCAAGTCTTCCTAACTGGTCTTCCCCTATCCAAAATCTTAACAAGACAGGTCAAGTCTTACTAACTGGTCTTCCCCTATCCAAAAAAACAAATCAGAAAACACACAGCTTTTGAAAGTAGAAAAGGGAAACGTAGCAATCTAGAATTGCCACATTGCTGATAAGGGCACGGCAATGAACAAAAAATGCGATGTACAAACACTTCATTTAATAGCCTGATTGGAGTACAAAAATAATGACTTTCTTCTAGAAACAAATATATAAGCTCAGAAAATTCATAATTTTGACATATATTTTACAGTACCTCTTCCTTGCAAACCATGAATTCCAGTTTCACCAGATTTACAAGCAGGGTGAACCATAGGCAATGTGTCACCCACATCACCCCCACTGTTTAGACTCCTTTCATTTCGAAAATGCTCCAAATCAGCTTTTCCAAAATCAGCATTCCCTTCACTCCATTTACCACCATTACTTGAACTCTCCTTTTCGCCATAAGAATTAGAGAAATTAACAACATCCTTCTCCATGTTATTTGCCAGATTCGATAGATCATTTATGCCCACTTTGAAAATATTTGCAAGAATCTGTTCTGCTTTCCTAAACCTCGCACTAAGATCTTCAAATCTCTTCTTATACACTTCTACAGTCTGATCAGTCTCTAACTTTTCACACTTCAACTTCTCAGCCTCGTCGTTCATGGACTTAATTTTCTCCTCGTACTTCACTGCAGTTTTCTCACTTTCCAATTTTTGATTCTCCAATTCCTTAATCTTCTGATTCAACTGAAGAATCATTTTACTCTTTTCCTTCAACTTGCCCTCTAGCACTAACTTATCCTGCTCCAATAAATCAAATTCTTTTTTGATTGTACGTCGATCCCTTTCAAAACTCTCTCTCTCCACTTTCATGTTATTCTCGCGCTCAGTCAAAATGTTTTGGACCTCATCAAACTCGCTTTTCAAAAACGAGTACTCAAGGAATTTGATTAATTCCTGAATCGATGAGCTTGAACTAATTTTGGGAAATAACCCCTCAAGCTCTGTTAAACTCATTTTTTCCATTTCTCTTCAGAAAATTCACGTCCCAAATCTCAGCTATTCACACAGTTCATCAAAGGCTAGGGGAAAAAAACAGAGATTAGTGTAATTCGACTAATCCAGTAATCCTTCATATTCATGTTACGTAGGACGGTACCCATTTTGCAATCATTTTGACCGTAGAAAGAAGAAAAACAGAGACTGTAAAATAGATGCAAAGTACTTACGATTCTTGAAGAAACCCAAAATTTGATACCAACTATAGATATGTCGATCGCAGTTCAAGCCACACAAAAAGGATCTTTCCAAATATATTCGTTGTTGGTGCGATGGAGATGACGGAGTGTGAGTGTGAGTGTGAGTGTGAGAGAGTGAGAGAGATGCGAACGAAGAAGATGGACAGTTGCAGAGCCTGGCACTCTGCAAGACACAGTTCAAATACAGGTGGTAACTAGTAAGGTACTACAGGGCCGTTTGGTCCCTTATTTTGCTTAAATTCATTGATTTTATAATCTTTTGACCTTTTTCAATCATGCTTTTTCCAAAATAATCACGTTTATATAAAAATTTATTCAAAAAAAACATTCAACTACACGTGGCTTAAAGTTTGTTTCGTATAGACTTATAGTACATAGATTGCAATGGTTTTCCTCATTCTTTATCCATTTACAAATTTTACTCCTAACCTAAGTTAAAGCATGACATACATTTCGAGTGTAGTCTTATCGATATTCTGCTCAGACAAAGGTAATTTATGCCAAGCATTATTTTTTTGACAAATTGGCTCGATTAAGTCATTAAATCACGATTTTGTTGCAGCTTAAGACAGTTGTATTGATGGCCTGACTGATCCAAGAGACGAGCCGAGCCCAAACTCGTTCAAGCACAAACCAAGCTCGTGCCAAGGGCCGAGTTGAGTCGAGTTCGGCCCACGATCCCAATTTTTTTAAAAAGTGATCAAACCATCAATTTTTCGAAAAAATTTCACTTCTTTGACGAGCCCTTGGCTTGTACTTAGTCTCGTCTCGAAACGAGTTTGAGTCGTCCATGGTTTGAGCCTCTACGATAGCTACTCGAGCATTTTGCAACCTCTAGTAGACTTGATAACCCTCTCTAAAAATAAGTGAACTTGATTCGCTCTACTTTATATGCATAATTGTATTTCAGAAATTAGAAATATGCTTAGTAAATCCTTTAAGCTTAAAAATTAGTTAAACATCATTTCTATTTATACATTTCATAAAATTTATAACTTAATTTTATTTCTTTTAAAAAAAATACTAAACATACACGGACCCCCTATTTGGTAGAAATTAAAATTAATTTTTTACCAAATTTGGTAAAAATTGATGGAATGTGTAGTTCAAAAGATGTGAATCCTATGAAATGTGTTGTTAAAATTAATTATTAATTTTGACTTAAATTTTAATCATATTTTTAGTGGTACCAATCAATGCATATTGTGCTTAAAAGGTTAAAACGATGCAAAAGGTTTTTTTTTTAAAATGAAAATTGGTTCAAATGGTCCAACCGTCCAAAACCTTTGCTCACCTTGTATTTTTGGTCCAAACTTTTAAGTCTTTCACACAAATGGTCACAATCATTTGCAATCTTGTCATTATTGGTTCATTTAAATAGATTCCATCATAAACTGCGGTTAGTTATGCATGCAAAATGCAATTGTTTTTATTTGATTGGAAAAATTTGTCAAATCAAAAATAAAATATATTTTTAAAAAAAATAAAAATAAAAGATACCCTCCCCTCCAACGAAGACTCTCAATGCTGTTGGAAATATTGAATGAAAATATCAGTTCCTATCAGTTACAAATATCTCTTCAATGCTAACTTCTTCCTTCAAGTAACTCCTCTCTTCAATGTTTAACTCATCATTCAAGTAACTCCTCTCTCAATGCATTA